CTTTTATTACAGTGCTACTGCTGCTTGCAGAAGTTCTGAGCAGCAGCATATGCAAGCCATTTGAGGAGGAAAACCCTAATAAAGAAACAGCAAAGTGTGAGGATAGGAGCTAGCTCCCTTCCACGTCGTCTTCTTCCCCTGCCCAGGTTGTCATTCTGTCCCTTCATACCAGCTGATCCTGAACTTTTTGTTGTTTGCTGCTTCTCAGCTCTCTCTCTCTCTCTCTCCCTCCCCATCCCTGTTTTTTATATCACTTCTGCCTATAAGGTGTTTGGTAAACTTTCAAGCTCTTTAAATTCTACTCTTGGCTAGAAGTCAGATACTGGAAAAAAGAAACCAGCTTTATAACATTGCATGGAAGGAAGGAGGTGGGCAAGAAGCCATGCAGCAGCTTTGAAAACCAAGAGTTTAATCTCTGCAGGGTCAAAGTCAATGGAATAAATTCCCTCTGCATCATCCTGCAGACTGCTGTTCAAAGCCTGAAGCAGTATGGTGTGTGTCTTTATCTTCTTGCCATGCAGCAGTTTCGCTTCTCTTTGTGGTAAAGGCTTTTATTTCTGTGGAGAAAAATAATATTCCCTGACAATGTCTGTAAGCAGAGTATTTGGGCTGTGCAGACCCAACTGACGCAGCATTGAATTCTGCTGTCTCATTATAAAAGGACACCAGTATACTGGAGCCTTTAGTTCTTGTCTTACTAAGGCAAGAACAAGTGATTCTCAACCAGGGTGCCACAACACTTTTGGGGTGCCATGTGGTCCTTTTAAGGGTACCATGGTGTGCTGTGTATAATTAGCACTGTTAGGTGTATACACACCTACATGATTCATAAGATAAACCCACATATTTCAAATAGGTATCCATAGTGTCAAAACCCCTCTGACCTGTTTTGGTCTTTCAGAGTTCTTTGCAACAGAAGAATTGCTCTAATATTTTTTTTTTGCCTTGGTCAAAAAGGCAAGTGAAAGCTTAGAGGATTTGCCTTGGGTCTAAAACAGTTGAGGTTGACGTGAAAGGAAGGGGAAAGAATGCTCCCCTACTGCAAAGAAAAAACCTATCCCAAAATAATTTTGTGTGGAGAACAGAATTATGCCCTCTGTTTCTGATACAATTGTTCACATATCTATTGATTTTTGTCTTGCCAGGAAAAACTATTCAGTGCTGGGGTATGTGAGCATCCTGTAACCCTGAGTTGGTTGTTTCTTTCAGGTCAAAGCCACTGGACAGGAACTTTTCCAGCAAGTTTGTGACTTAATGAAGATTAAAGACCCTCATTTCTTTGGTCTAAGTATTGTTAAAAGTAAGTTCTATGCACAGAGTAAATGACTTCACAAATGTCCACGGACACATTTGTATATCTATTGTGTGTGTATTAATGTTTTGGCCGCATCATGGGGAGGACACAAGGAGACTATATTGTGGTACTGTCACAAACTGTGGTACATTATCCAAAACCTTTGTAAAGTTTTTTGATTGTTGTTCCATGAGCAGATACATTTAAGGGAGATGAAAGAGGGTCAACTATTTAATCTTGTTCTACCTTTTGGATGTTTCCTGTAGCTAAGTTGTTTGCCAACACTTTTGCTGTTGAGTGAATTCAAAGTGTCAGTTGTTACACAGGAAATGAAATGTAATAGGACTCTGTGGCTAGAAGCATAACACATTTTCTAAAGCCACAAATTGCGAAGAATGCTTGTAAAAATGTAAGGGCTTTGAGGGGGAAGGGAGATTTGAATGTGCAGGATTGCCTAGACCAGGCTAGATCAATGGTCAATATAAGCCAATGTCCTGTCACTGAGAGGGGTCTGTACCTGATATAGCTAACAGGAAGTAAGCTATCCTGCTGTAGGCTGATGTAGAATAATTTACCATTTAAGTTGTCAGCTGTCAGAGATTGTCTTGGTTCCCATAGCTTGAGGGGATTTATACTCCTTCCAAAAATGGTCGTTTTTTAATATTTAGATAATATTATTGTCATTCATACAAAAAGAGGGACTTTTTCAGTCCCTGTCAGTGTGACTGTGGTGATCTCTTACAGCAGTGAATTCCACAGGGTAATTCTGCATTATGTGAAAGAAATATTTACTTTTAATTGGTTTTTGAATTTTGTACCTTCATGATTTTTATCAAACATTCCCTGATTCTTGCATTAAGGTACTTCTGTAGGCATTTACGTTTGAAGACAATATATCGATATAACTTCCTTTTGATATGGAATCAGATCAAACTAAATCAAAATAAATTTGCCTTACTTTGGATTTTGTTAGCCACCTAGTGGGTTCTGTCCTCGTAACCTATTCAGTTTACAAGTACATCTGTAGTTTAAACCACAGTGTGTTTGTTTTCTGGTTTTTTGGGGGGTTTTTATCAACAAAAACTAAAAGGTTTAATTTTACATGCACTCACTCTGCTCAGTATGAGAAATTACTCCTATCGCTCCAGTGTTAGCTTCCTTCATTGGATGTCCCTTATCTCATAACGTTCAAGCTCCTGTTCCATCTTTGCAAGGACCAGTGTAATTTCATCCCTGTCTCCATCTCCACACTTATTTTGCTCCCAATCTGCTGCTCCCTCCTGCTCTTTGCTTAGTTTTTTTCTTTTTTAACCTTACTTGTCTGTTCACCTTTACATTTCTGTGCTTTCAGTCTTGTGTGTGTGGTTTGTTTGGTTTTTTTGAGGGAGGTTGGTTGGTTGGTTGTTTCTTGCTACTCCTTAGCACGTCTACATGTTCATTAATGCACCATAGTTATGGCATACTAAGTTTAGTACTTGGATAACCAAGTACTAATTAATGTGAAATAACTTGCAGTAGTGCTGATGCATGGGTTTTTAGTGATACTAACTGTGTAGTAGCCTAACATTACTGTGCAGTAATGTGTTAGCATGGTTTTTGGCTGGCACGTTACTGCACAGTGTTACTAAACTACTACACAATTAGCATCTCGTATAGACATCCCACTTGTGTAGTTGTGTTTGGAGCAGTCTCCCTACCCTCTCTCTTTCTCAAGAGTAAGGACTGTGGAAAGTGACCAGATGCTAAGGTAAGTTGAACATTGCTATAGTTTCTTGTTTTGTTTTTTTGTCGTGAGAATGCAATAGAATCTGAACACTATTAGTCCTGTTACACAACAGATGTAGTGGAAAGGATACCAAAGCAAAGCAGTAGCAATATCTTTGTGTTCTAGTAAAGAACAGAGTCTGCCAGTAACTTAAAATCTTCACACACTCCTCCAGTTACAGAAATGCTTTATCTTTATGGAGCAAAGATTCTCCAGATGATGTTGCTAAAAGAAAACATACCTTTCCCTATTACAGCACACTGCAGGAGTCGAATAGCCTCTGCCCTTAAGTTTTTATGAATGTTCCACTCTGGTTTGTCTCGGCTCAGCTGGCCGAAGCTGTGACAGGGCTGAGCACGCGCCCAGCCTGGCTTCTTGCTTTGCTCCCCTTGAGTGTTTCAAGGGCCTGGATGAGATGGAGGCCAGCCTTTTTTGCTTTTTGTTTAAGGACCTCATGGTATACTGCAGTGGGGAGGTTTCTTTTATATCAACTCTGTTACAATGGCACATGAGCACCTTGCAGTCTTTCATGAATTTGTCCACACAGCATTCCTGCGAGGAAGGAATGCATGGTTATCCTCAGGGTATAACTGAGAACTTTGCCACAGAGAAGCTAGATGGCTTTCCCCAGTGTCATGTGGGGTGATTGACAGAGCAGATAGTTGAAACCAGTTCTCCCAAGACTTAGGTCAGGAGTGGTCCAGCTGTGGCTTCCAAAAAAAAAAGAAATAACTAAATTTAGAAACATCTCTATTTCTTTTGATCTCTGTTTTTTGTTTTTTGTTTCCTCTGTTTCTTGCTCAGTTAGACTAAAAAGTCATGTAATATGGCTTGGGGTACAATCATATCAAGAGTTTTGTCCACAGCTAGAAGGATTACAAAATGTTGACTATTCCTCTTGACCATACTCCTTCCATTTCTTCAGCCCCTAGGTGGGGAGGACAAGGTAGCTTTGGAAACATTTTTGGTCATAACATGGTAAGGTTGTGGTACAGAAGCAGCTGTTAGCCACTGCCCAAGATTTAGCTCCAGAAATCAAGCAGCAGCACTGCTTCACCCACACCTTCCATTACCACCATCCCCACCCAGCTGCTGAAATGGAAAGGAGGATTCAAACATGAGCATGCAAGCCTCTGATCTGGGGGATTGTTTACTGGGTGGCCTCCAGGTTTCTGTGGTCACAGTACTGATGCTGCTTCCATGTTTATCCATGCCAGCTCTTTGCCACTAGCAGGGATATGCACTGTGCTGTGCACTGACTTCTTTCAGTGGCTTAAAGCAGGGCTGTCCAACTGGCAGGCTTCATGCAGCCCTTGAGAGGTTAATTTGTGGGTCTGCTGCTCACACTCCCCACCCCCATTGCTTTGTCTGGAGCAGCAGATTAGGTGTTCAGGCTCCCTCTCCTCCTCTAGCTTTCACTTCTCACCCCCACCCCAGGGGTAGCCTGCAGTTGGGGAGCTGACAGTGGGGGCTGGTGCATCCTGCAGCGCAATATGATGGGAGGGTGCCTGCACAATCTGGGAGAGAGGGGCCATGGCCCCTGCTGATGTGGACCACATGGCATGTGGTCTGTGGCCACTTAGAAGTTGGACAGCCCTGATTTAAAGAATAGAGAGATGAGGCGAGAGTCTTTAACAGAAGGACAGTGACAGAAATAGTAAGCAGATGTTCTTCTGTTGCCTTTTGCAGCTTGTGCTGCAGATACAGCATTCCTTACCTCTTCCTCCCTGGATAAAGCTTTCACTGCTGTGAAAATTAATCAGGCCATCAAGGAAACTAATCTACCTACCTGAGGGGCCCTGGATTTCTCTGCACTGCTGCTCACTGACTTGTTCTTCATGGATATTTTTCAATACTAACTGCATTTGGGGGAAGTCTCTCCCAGCAGAAGTGGTGCAGTCACCATCCTTGGAGGTGTTCAAGAGGAGGCTGTACAAGCACCTCCATTGAGCTTGTTTGAGCCCAATAACCTCGTGCCCATGGCAGGGGACTGGACTGGACTTGATAGTCTTACAGGTCCCTTCTGGTACTTTTTGTTTCTATGATTCTAATTCTTTCGAGTCCTGCAAAGACCTGGAGAAGCTTGTAGATTGGCAGCCTGAAAAGCTTGTGAACAGAAGGTGCACCACAGTACTTAGAGGGGTGAGACAAGCAATTTGGATATTGGAAAAACTTGCAAAAAATCCCTTGTTATACAGCAAAGGAATGTGCTTTGTTTGGAAGTGTCATTCCTCCTTACTTAGACTGCAGTCTTGAGTTTGAGTTTTAAGAAGTGACTCTGCACCTGCTAGAAAGGAACGTGAAAGCCTTTATACGCATTTATAATTTCTTAGACGTCTCATACCACCTGCGAGTGGATTTCAGTCAGTGTGCATCCATTACTTCTATAACAGTCTGACAAAACACTGGCAAATGGCCTAACAGGAGGAGGATGCCTAAGGCTTTATACAGAAGCATGAAGAACATCACACCGTGGGGATTACATGTCCACTTGACCCACATCAGGATGTGGAAATACCTGAACGCATATTCAGGTTGGATAGAAGAGGTATATATGGTTGGTTGTTTTATTTATTTATTTTTAAAGTAAAAAAGCTTTACTTTTTTTTCTTTATTAAGTTTACTGTCCATGGTGAGGCAAGAATGCAGATTCAAATGCATGATACAGCATAGATGCAAACCACTCATTTTCTGATTGCTTTGTTTTAGTTTTTCGTGTATATGGCCTCCCTTCTGAAAGAGTTCATAAGGAATGCCACTCCCTGCAAGACTCTTGGTCTTATTGGTGTCCTCATCTGCTGAAAGAGAAACTAGGGGTTTGAAAGATTTAGTAAGATGGGTTGCTTGTCTCTTTTTTGTATGCGCTATATTTTCTTAGCTATTTTCCCCTCTTACTCATTTGATTTCACATGAAGTGAGTTTACACAAGTTAGAATAATCTTTACCCACTTGAAAATAAAGCACAGCAGTTATTGGAATGCAAATATATTGATCCTCTGGTTCCATCATGGATTGCTGACTATGCTGTGCCTAGTAACCTTCCACAAGCTGTGGTAAATGAAACCTTTCTGGTGATGCTACGTGTCAAGCCTTCTCTTTGCTCAAGTAGGAGTCCCATGACCATGCCATTCATGAACTTCCATAGGTGTCTTGCACCCTGGCTCTTTCAGCAGGGTTAGTCCTTTTTGGTTCCCTGCAGGAGTTTTCTCCTTAGGGAGCTTTGTAAAATTCAAAATGTATG